GGGGGGGGGGCGTTCTGTGCACTCGACTCATGCTATTGGTTCATTTGTTATTATTGTCTATCTGCAACATTGTAGCTTATTCTCTTCTCCTTTTCTTTGTTTCTCTATTCCTGCTTAGGCTGCACATTCCATGAGGATGACTTCTCCATCAAATGTCCTAAACACGAGGTAAGAAAATGACTAGTGAATGAATGGTCATTAATTCTCATATTATTTATTTTTGAGCGTTTAAAATACAGCATCCTGCTTTAACAGTGACTCATACATTGAAAAGGGAGGGAGGGTTGGATGGAGAAGATTTAGCATCTCCTAGGGTAACAACCTTCAGATCTTTGTGATTTCATATATTTTCATGTAAAGTGGGCATCCACAGGATTGCATTTCCATTAGAGCTCTTATAACCTCTCTGCTCAAAAATGCTGTGCATTTGGTTTTGGTTTTTTTCTCCCTCATCCCGCTCCCCATCACACAAAACATTTGGTTCACACATTTCTGTCACAAGCAACAGCACCGTGGCTGGATAGACAATACTGTGCAGAACAGAAAACTAAATTGTCAGCTCTTGTAAAACAGAAGGAATCAGAAGGGGAAACACAAGCTTTCAAGTTGGTGTCTGTTATATCACATAACCTATTATCTACTCCAATGACAAGAGAGTCAGGATCTCATCTTGGGCTGACCAATATTTTGTTACCTAATCAATATGTACCCAATGACCTTGGCAAACTGAACCCATATCAGCCACCAGTCGTTGGGTAAATACTCTGTTATGTGACCTGTGTGTATTACTGTCACTCAACACCCACTGTTATGACTGCCGACCGCTGCAATTACAACGGGTTACTGACTATATTTGTGTTCATATGAAACGTCCACTCCACTGTCAGCTTTCCTGTAAGACAGACGCCATCTGGTGGTGACGAAATTACACTGCAGCACAAAGAGGAAGGTCAAATGCAGAGGAGACGAGGGGGGGGGGGGAGTAGAAGGGGAGAGATGCTGACATTCAGCAGGGAGCAGCGGTGCATTGAGGCAGCAGTGGCAGTAGCCTCCCTCCCTCCCCTCTCTGCCTCTCTCTCCCCTTCCTGTTCTCCTCCATGCAGACTGACGGGGATGAAAAGCTGGCTGATGATCAAAACACCCCACCCAGCATCACTGCTTGCTTTCCTACCCTCATGCTTTCTCCACCCTTATCTCTCCCTATTCCTCTTGTTATTTTCTCATGTGTTCGCCTTATTTAGCTTGTGCCTCCCTGCTGTTTCAGCTCCCCCACTCTGTTCACCTCTCATCTCCTGCGAGCTCCCTTTTTTCTCCCTTTTTTCCCCCCTTCATCCCTTCCTTCTTCTTTCTCATCTCATCTTCTCTTCGCCTCTCCTCACCTCAACTCCCACGACTGAGCAGCAGAAATAGAGTATGTGAAACGGAGAAAAAAGGAACGGCAAGAACGAGAGAGATTGTTGTTAGCGAGCTGAGGCAGAGCTGTCATCAGCTAAGGGATCTGAAGGTCTGTGTGTGGGTCTGTGCTGCGCCAATTTAGCTGAGCAGCCTAATCAAAGGGAAGAGCATGAACATACGAACACACACACACACACACACACACACACACACACACACACACACACACACACACACACACACACACACACACACACACACACACACCCCACCCCACCCATGGGTCCCCCTCTGAAATTCTCCCTCTGCCTGTGTTCACTTGGTTTGAGGGCTGGAACACACATATTGATGACATCTCACACACATGTAGAGCTAATGGACACATACTGTGCGCTTCTACCCAGGTGTATTAACAAGTTACCTGTAAGCTCACTAACATATGCACATATTGAGCGGCAGAGAGTGAAAAGCAGGGAGAAGTAAATACAGTGTTGTGCTGCGGCTGAGTGGGAACAAAAGAGGAATGGGGGGAGTTACATCAGAGAGTGACAGCATAAAAGAGACAGGGATTGGAGGAGAGAAGAAGGGCAAGAGAGACAAGCCGCTCTCAGTGAAGGAGGAATTGAGATTGAAGGGAAATTAGTTAATTTAGGGAGGTAAAAAGAAAGAGAGGGGAGGAAGAAGGAGAGAGAGGGAGAGATAAAAGAGAAAAAGCTGCTCTGAGGGCAGGCCATAAGGATGGACAACAGAGAGAAAGACAGAGAGAGTGAACGAGAGATACTTGGGGGCTGCAGAGGAGAATAAGGGGAAAGGAAGCACTCCTCCACCAACACACCAGCGCAATTAGTAGGCGTTCCTGCTGTGTCTTTCTAAGTGGAGCTGGTTCACTGGCCAGCTGCATCCATCTCTCCACCGCTGCACACGGCAGCCAGCTCACCTTCATGTCTGCATATCTGCACAGAAACACTCACAAAGCTGCAGGTACAGCACATACACGAGAGCTCCCACCTGCAGAAGACATGGACGTACATTTATTGCAGCTTTTGTGTTCATAAAAAACATTTTCAGCACTTAAATAATGCAGATTTTCTGCAATGCTGTGGAGACAATGTAGCACTCATAGAGGGAATACCTCAAAACCTCTCTGCGTGTATTTATGAATTCATAGCTGTCTCTCTTCCCTTTTTCTACAGGACCTGTAATATATTCCAGTTCATCACCTCCAACTCAAACACCACCTCTCAGCCAGGAAGGCGTCACTTATCCAGCAAGGCAAACAGAGATGTTGTCCTAACAGCCACCTATACCTAAAAAAACACAAGGATGACTGATGGCGGACAGGCACATCAAGCCAGTGGAGATGGGGGAGGGGAAAAAGGCTGCTCTGAGGTGGAGGTAGGAGCAATACAAACCCCGGGAAAATGGCTCCGCAGAGAATAGCTGCTCCCTGAACCCCGGCCCGGAAACGTGTTTTCTCAACTGAGCCCCTTACTGGGAGGCAGAAGGCAGCGGCACTGTTTAACAGGAGGAAAGACTGCGCTTTGGAGACTGTGTGTCTAGAGCCCAGTGCACAGGGGGGGCTGCTTAAAATGCAGAGCGAGGAACGTGTGTGTGTGTTCTGCCTTCGGATGGGTTGCTATCATATTCAGACACCTGGCGGACAGTGATTGGACAGGAGCATCCCTCTGGCCACCTTGTCTGTGAGCCAAGAAGTGTGTATGCGTGTGTGTCTGTGCGCGTGTGAGTGGGATAATCACATTGTCATTCTACAGCCACACCATCCGTGTGTTTGGGCATTATGTGTGAGTGAAGAAGTTCGTCTCCAAGATGTCATTGCATCAAAAAAGCAGCAGCAGCAGCCAACCACTGGATGTACTATCTCAATGTGTGTGTTTAAAACAAGAGACAAAACGAAACAAAAAAGGAACTGTACATGATGACGTGCTTTACAGGTTCTAAATATTCTGATATTGAAGAGTTCCGAAAAAAAATGGACGCAGTATTTTACTATAATGCTCTTATCTTCGGAGATGTATTTTGATGTGCAATATGACTATACAACATCATTGCGTCACTCTTGGTATATGTCAGGCTTTGTTGTAATTCTGAAATTAACAGAAAAAAATGAAAAAACTAAACTCTGTTCAAGAGTGTTACCCCATTTCAACTGTGTGCACATTCAATATGTACAGTAGACGACGCCATCATCACTCGACAGGTTGCAAATCGGGGCTCCGAGGGTCCAACCGGGAGTCAGGTCATCTCACCTCATATCTATGTACAGTTCAGAAGTATTACTGTTAAACATTGCCATCATGTATGATTATTTCACCCACAACAACATCGCAGAAAGACACACATTCACTCCAGATTTCATAACACTCCCGTCTGTTCGTGTATCTCAGATGTAGCCTCTTTCACTCTTCCATGCTATGTAACAACGCCCTGGACAGGGTGTGAGTTTAAGTACTGGTCATATCAAAAAGAGACATATTTAAGTATTAGAGCATAAAAGAAAGTGCAAAAACGCCACACCAAACGTTCTCTTTTATGAAGCTCATTATTTAATGGTGTATATAAGTATTTGAAGCTGTTTAAATGTAAGATGTGATGTACTATTATAATTGTGTATAGTATTTCCTAGAGATGTTTATTTTCTATAAAATGGAATATGTTATTGCTTATAAAATGTTATTAAAAGAATCCATTGATGAAAAAAATTACCTTTTTTGGGAATGTCACTTGTCATAAGTTGGAGCATGTCGTTTTATTGATTTCCATGTCTATTTGTTTGAAATCGATGACACAGCATCACTTTGTTTGAAATGTTTTTTGTAACGCCAATGTTAAATATACCAGCACCTTTCATGCTGCTATGACCAACGCCTGCTCTTTTTTGTCTTTCCTGAATACGCACTGACATCAACACCATTTGGATCAGCATGGCATCACCGGGCAAAGGGACCATAATGAGTCATAACAGTGTTCATTATCAAAATGATGTCAACACTTCCAATCTGGTTATAAACATACCAAGCAATCACATTTGAGAAATGAAAGCCTTATCTAACAACCTGCTTTTAATAAAGCAAATGATTACAGATAACTATTACCGATATCAATGAACCTTTGACATTTGCTTACAAAACGCCAAAGGAGATTCACTTCAGAATAATCAAAGATTTTCTTTGGTCAAAACTTGTTCTTGCCTTTTTCATTCAACCACAAGAAGTGCATAATTTCGAGTTTGGAAAAGGGAGACATTTAATTATGTGGATTACAATTACCCCCATTAAAATGGAAAGCACCACAGGAAACTGTAAATCCTTCCTTACAAAATGCTTTAATATTTACATCATAAAGAGATGAAACCGAAGAACAAGGAAGAGAAGAAAATATATCAAAGTTAAAGAACACATGAATAACACCTTTAGACATTGCTATGTCTCATTCATCTCAATCCATCATCTTTCAGTCTTTCACATTAGTGACACTTTAAAAAACATACTCGTTCTGAAACAAGAACACATGCCAACGATTTTTTTCTTTTTCTTACAGTCCTTTAAAAATCAACAACAATGTGTGGTTCTCTAGGAACATTTAACTATAATGACTGAAAGAGCAAGTGTGGCTCTTCGTGTTGGAGCTAAAAAGGAAAACCAGTTTCACTACAGGCCCTCTTTGGATAAAAAACGAATCATTTGAAATGTTCTTCATTATGTAACTTGTTGCAAAAGTGCCATAGGTTCACTTTATAGTGTTTAATCTTTGTGATGCCAGAATTGGACGCTGCCAATATGAAGAATAATCGTAGCTGCATACGTGTGCAACAGTGCAAAAGGTCAATTGAGTCAGACGATGTGACGCAAATAACTTGCACTTGATTTTGACACCCATTGCCATGGCAACACATTACAGTAACTCCATTATATGGGCCTGGAGAAAAGCTACCAAATAAACTCATTTTAGGGGAAGAAAATAAGCATTATCAATCTGCCTTGCAAAATACTTCTTACAGATTATAAATACATTTTGAAATATGTACACGGCAAAACAAATAACGATCTCTATGAAAATAACTCCATAAAGCCACATTTCTATTTATCTCATTGAAATCAGCCTTGCAGGGCTAGTGCAGATTGACACATGGAGCGTCCAGTGGGTCACCTCTCCTGGCTTCAAGTCAAACTTCATTCAAATAAACTTTAATACTTTGTGAACCGGCGGAGTGGCTTCCCACTGAACACATGGGCGGACCAATCAAGTCCTTTTCCTCAACGAACAAGCGACGCCTCACTCTGCGGCCAATCAGAGCAGCCCGCCACTCCAACCCACTGAGCAGTCCTGCTTAAGGTGCATTTATGTCGAAAAGATCGGGGTGGGACTGAATAAGTGCAGGGCAAATATCTCTTTCATGCTTCACTCACACACATACACTCACACACTCACTCATTCACACTGAACCGTCTACTTAGAGGACGTGACGGCTCCTCATTGTGGTCAAACTGTGGCACTGCAACCGAAAATGTTCTTATTCTGGTAATAATCCATAGCAACAAGAGTGTTACCTCTACACACACAGTGCGTCCTGATGTGGGGATTAGGTGTTGGCAGGGACAGTCCATGAGAAAAATCTGAAAGTTTGATATGAATCTGGAAAGTGTAGTCAATCTGTTCAATAGCTGCACGCCAGAAATGCCAGAGAATGTGTGGCTGTGTCTCTGCTGATATTTTCTTTTTTGTCTGTGTGTTTTTGTATCTGATGTTTCTATATACAGTGTCCATACATGTCTCTCAGCCCCTCCCCAACCTTTCTGCTCTCTAGCTGTTGGTGACAGTAGTGCCGCTGCCCAGCTTGATGATCATTTGCTGGCAGTCGTGGAGGGTCCTCTTGTCTCCCAGCTTCTCCAGGGTGCGGGCAGCGTCTGCCAGCATGCCCACCCGTTGGCCGGGGGCCGACAGGAAGGAGGGGGGAAGGTAGCGGCACGCCAGCATCACAGCCTCCGCCTGCTCCCGCTGGCCCGGCCGCGTCTCGCACTCCTCTGCACACAAAAACACAAAGAAACGTTGTTACCATGGTAATTTCGGAGGAGCTTTACGATGTACGATCAGCCATTGACGGACAATCAGACTGCAGCAGCTTCTTGTTTAATTACTGATGGGATTTAGTGTTGTGAACAATTGGACAAAATAGATTAAAAGCTGGTTAGAGCTACTAATTACCGCCATTCAGTGTATCCCAGCTTTTATTTAAAACGAAGCAAGAAAACACACATCTAAAAACACTGCTTGGAGAAGAGCGGAATCCACAGTTGAAGTTTATCAGTAAGTTTCAAAAGTTTTTATTTGCCAACTGCTTTAAAGTTAATTAATTACAGCTTGATAACTCATTAATATAACTCGTAAAACAATGTGCAATTAAGATTATGTTATCATAGCCTCCACATGGCCTACAATATCTGAGTATAGTCGATACACAAAAAAACCCAACAGATGCTGAACGCCTGAACACATCTTTAAAAATATGATGCCACCTTTAGTTGGTTTAATAGGCAATCCATAAATGTCAAATACATCAATAAACAGAATATATCCCATCTGGTAAATGAAGGTTTGTGGACAAACATAGAAATAGAACAGACATTTAGAGCAGCAAAAAGTTAACTAACAATTGTTGTTGCATAGTTGATGAAAATATTAAAACAAACACACACCTGTTTTGGCTCCGGGTGTTGCCCTGCGTCGCAGCGAGCGATCCAGGAGCTGATGTGTGCGGGTGGGACTGGCCCCCGCCATCAGCCTGGCTGTAGCTTCATGAAGGAACAACTGGAAAGAGATGAAGGGAGATAAATGAGGAGGAGGGATGGTGACTCATACAAATGTCTGTCTGTCTGTCTGTCTGTCTGTCTGTCTGTCTGTCTGTCTGTCTGTCTGTCTGTCTGTCTGTCTGTCTGTCTGTCTGTCTGTCTG